CCCCAAAACCCCAAAACCCCAAAACCCCAAAACCCCAATCACAAAGCGATTTCTTGATAATTAAAATATTAAGAAATGGGAGGTTGCAATTTCAAAAGCGACGCTTCTGCAGTCGGCAATATCAGTATTGGAGACTTCAAGCTTAAGCACAGGATTGGAAAAGGAGGCTTTGGGGAGGTCTGGAAGTGCATCCGTAAAGGAACGAAGAAGGAATTCGCCTTAAAGCAGATGAATAAAGCTAAAATTGTAAAGAAACTTTCAGTCGATTCTACTCTGAATGAGAGGGAGCTGCTGGCGCAGCTCAAACACCCATTCATAATAAATATGCACTATGCGTTTCAAGACAAGGTTCATCTTTATATTGTAACTGACTTGATCGAAGGAGGTGATCTAAGATACCATATGAGGAGAAGGAAGACATTTACAGAAACAGAGTCGAAGTTCCTCATCGCTTGTGTAATCGCTGGGCTGGAGTATATGCATGATAATGGAGTCCTACATAGAGATATAAAGCCTGAAAATCTCCTTATGGGCAAAGATGGCTACATTCGGATCACTGATATGGGCATTTCTAGAATGAGATCGAAGGATAATGCAGCTGACACCAGTGGAACTCCAGGATATATGGCTCCAGAAATTATGTGTCGGCAAAACCATGATGTAGCTGCTGATTATTACGCGCTTGGAATTATTGCCTATGAGCTGATGATTGGTAAAAGGCCCTACACTGGTAAAGACAGAAAAGAGATCAGAGATAACGTCCTAAAAGATCAAGCTAGCATCAAGAAAGCAATGATACCTGAAGGATGGAGTATCGAAGCAGCTGATTTCATAAACAAATTAATCCAGAGGAAGCCTGCTAATAGGATCGGACTGAATGGCTCAGAGGAATTAAAACAGCACATTTGGCTAAAAGGTTTTGACTGGGATGGGCTGCTGGAAAAATAGCATGGAGCCAGCATTCTACCCTGAATCTCGTACTCCTTATAAACCGAGAATATTAACAACGGAGCAAGAAGAAAAACTAGAAAAGGAAAATGAAGAATATTATCAAATGTGCTGAAAAGAATCAATCCAGAAGATATTTGAAGATTATATTTTTGATATAGAACAGCTCAAATTTCAGAAATTGCAAGAAATTAGACAGAAGGAATATCTTCTAAGGGTCGGGAAACTAGAAGAAGACCAGAACATAATGACCCAAAATTTTATTTGTGAAACTCAGAACTCAAATTACCTTCATATGTAAATTTTCATTCATAAATTTGTCTAAGGAATAAATACGTTCTTTCCTATCTTTATAAGATTTTAATCAGAATTCACATGTTCCAATCATTATGGAATTATAAGGGGTTTTGGGGTTTTGGGGTTTTGGGG